TGGACCAGCCCTTGTCTGCGAGGGCTCCTGCAGAAAGCAACGGCTTGGCGACAGCCATCACCCGAAAACTGCAGCGTCCCTTCAGGGCGTCTTTGCCGGTGCCAATCGTCACCTTGGCATCGACCTTGCCGAGATCCTTGACGATCTCGCCCGAGGCGGTCTTGTAGACCTTGCTCGTGCCTTCAGGCTGGATAGGCTTGTAGCCCAGTGCTTCGGCAAGTTCGACAGGGATGCAGGAGGTGGCAGCTCCTGAATCCAAGGTCACCTGATGAGCCATTGGCGTCTCCATGGATGCTAGCTCCAAACTCTTGAGAGCGAGTGGATCTTCATCGCCTTCCTCAGGCTCGCTTGAGGGTGTGGGATATCGCTTTCCCTTTCCCTTCTGGGCCTCACGGGCAGCATCCTGAGTGGCCACGTTGACAGCTCGAGTCAACTGCACTTTCCTCTGCTTGCCCTTTCCTTGGCCCTTCTCGGAGGCAGCCGGAGCCGAAGCGGCTCGGCTTTTGCCCGGGGATCGTGACCGGGACTTCAGCCGAAGCGTCTGCCTTGGCGCTTCGCTGGATTCCTCTGGCTTGGATCCTGGTCCACGGAATCGCTCCAGGTGCTCTTCAGTCGAGCTCTTGAACCAGGCCATGCGCTCCTCCTTGGTCTTGCCTTTCTTCTCAGGAGGTGGAGGTGTCTTGGCGACGCGCCTTTGCTTTGGCGTCTTTGGGCCAACCTCATCTTCCTCCTCCTGCTCTTCCATCATCTTCTGCATATGGGCAGTCATGTAGAAAGGAGGTTCTTTCTTGACCGTCTCAAGCTTTGGATCCTTCATTTTCAAATGCTTTGCCACATCTTCGGGCTTCAGATCCATGTCGGCATCCTTCACATGCTTTGACGCATCTTTTGAAGTTGGGCTGCCTTGCTGTCCCTTGGCAGTCTTGATGCGCTTTCCCATCTCTTTCTGCTTGATCGTCCATTCCTTTGCCCACTGATTGAGGACTTTTGGCGGGCAGCAATTCAAAGCCATATGATGGTTCCATAGGCCGGTGTCATTGTCACACCTCAGGGCCTTGTTGCACGCACGGCAGACCATGTGCTTGCTGCCATCTCGGTTCTTGTGGGTGCATTTGGCTACCCATTCATCATAGCTGAGGATGCGCTCTTGGAACATGTGATCGAGCCATGGCACAGTGTCTTTCTCTTTTTCTTCCTCTTGTCCATCTGACTCATCGTCAGCTGGCTCAGTGCCATTCTCATCCTCTTCAACTTCATCTTCAAATTCTTCTTCCTCCTCCAGTCCCTCGATCTCAGTCACATCAAGGGGATTGATGTTCTCCATGACTGGAGCTGCGGAGGATGGTGCGCTTGTTGCTCCTTCGCCTTGGCTTTCGACGCGCTTCATCACAACATAGTCCTCTGGGTTGAACCCAGCTGCAGTGAGCGCCTTGTCGATGACACTGCGGGCTGGATGGCTAGTAGCCGTCCATGTTTGGTTTTCCCGCTTCATCTCTGCCAACTCTTGAGTTGAGAGATCCTCGATCTTGGGCTCCTTCTCTTTTGGCTTCTCAGGCTTCTTTGCCTTTCCTGGCTTCTTGTAGCCACGATGCCTCTGGGCCTTTTCCCGACCTCGAGGCTGAGGGGCCTCATCAAACTTTCCTTCATCATCTTCATCATCTCAAGCTTGAAGTCGACCAGTACCCTTGGCGCGAGCGATCTCATAGTAGTCGAGCTCCTCAGGGTAATTGGCCTCATAGTCGCGCCAGGATTCGAAACGATCCTGGGCCTTGTCAACGCGATGCTGCTCGGCGCGCTGACGGCTCTTCTCCTTCTTCTTGGCCAATCTTGGGTCCATGCCTGATGCCAAATCAGCTGAGAGCCTTGGCGACTCCGCCGGAACCGAAGCGGCGCGGCGAGGAGTTGGCCTCTTCAGCAAGATCTTGGCTTCTCTCTCCTTTTCTTCATACTGTTCTTTCAGCCTCTTCATCTCGGCCTGTTGTTCCAAGATGGCGTCATTGGCTGCTTTGCCTTTGGCTTCGGCCTCTTCGATGGCCTTCTGGATTGTCTCAGACTTCTTCTCATACAGCTCGCGATTGGACTGCATGGTCTCTTGGATTGCTTGGTTCATGACTGCAATCCCAGCAGCTGCAATTCCAGGACGACCTTTTCCAGCTCCTGGCTTCTTTGGCATAGCCTTGACTTCAGTCTCAGCTTTTGCCTTGGCTGCTCCACGAGAAATTGCGGCAGGTGCTGCTTTCTCCATTTCGATGGCAAAGAGGGTGGCGATGTCAGCGGAATACTCAGGCTCGGGTTGATGCTCTTGAGCCATAGAGGTTTCAGATTCCTCAACTGATGCTACCTTCTTACTTTTACTCTTGCCTTTACCTTTAGAGTCTTTGCCTTTGCCACCTTTGCCTTTACCCTTGGAGTTTTGGCTGTACCAACTATTCTTGTTCCAATCACTCTTATACCAATCGTTCTTGTTCCATGAGTTGTTCCAGGACGAGGGATTGGACCATGAAGAACCTTTTCCCTTCTGTTTACCTTTGTCGTTTCCCTTGCCTCCATCTTGACTCTTTCCTTTTCCTTTGCCGCCTTTTGAGCCACCTTTGCCTTTTCCTTTGGCTTTAGCCAGACTTGCAAGTGAAGCTTGCATCTGGCTGGCAGCTGCGGCTAGTGCATCAACATCCATTGGTGCTGATCCAGTCTTTGCTTCTTTTCGGCTCTCGATGTTCTCGAGGTAGGCCAAAATCTCTGACTTCATGATGGCATAGTCAGTGAGTCTTGAACTCTGGAGGTCAAGGTGATCTTGAAGCTTGGCTGGGCACATCTGCTGAAGACAACTTCTTGCGATGTCATCATCAAGAGCTTTCTTCTTTCGCTCTTCATACTTTCGCCTGATGTTTTCCCAGGCTTCTATGCTCTCTCTGAGCTTGTCCAATGCACACTGTTGTGGGTGCAGGACCTTCTTCAGCAAAGCTGAGTTTGCTTGTGGGTTCTGTGGATCATACTTGGTGATCAATCGTCTCAATGCCTCTAGGCCAAAGTGCTGACCTCTGGAGGTATTCTTGACAATCTCGAGGGCTTCTCCCTCACATAGTGAGATCAGAGCCTGTCGGGCCTGAGCTGAAACAAGCTCGGCTCCTTCAGGATAATCATCTTCCAGAGATGTCTCATTGATCTCTGTGTCTTGATGCTCTTCGATGAGCTGAATGCACTTTCCTGCATTCTTGTGACTTGTCTCAATCCAAGTCTTGAACTTGAAGTACCATGAATCCCAGGTACCTGTGTGTCCACTGAACTTGTCAGGCTTTGGAGTGCCTTTCAACTCTGATCTGTCTCTTACTTCTACGCTAGTAGCTATGTTCCTTGTGATTGCCGTTTGTTGTGTATATGCCTCTGCCATTGCTCGTTGCAATTGGCTCTGCCCCTGTGCTAGGGCTTGCATCATCTGTGCAAATTGTTGTGCCATGTCTGTGGCTTGTGGTGCCTGTGCTCCTGGCTGTTGCGCCATGCTGACTTGCTAGCCAGGGATTGAAGCAATCCGGCTTTCCTGCAAGTGATGCTTGTTTTGTGGATCTCCGGTGCCAGAGCCGATGCGGCTCGGCAACCTTCGATTCGCAGACGGTAGCCGGGTCTTAGAACCGCGGCTCCGCTACCATGAACGGAGAATTTAGGCTCTTAAACTCTGTGACCCCAAGTCACTGTCCCAAAGGTTGGAGTAGAAGCTTAGGCCCACTTTTAGCTCACGCTTGACTGAGCTCTGGTATCGAAATGAACACAAAACGGCTGCAGTGAAACATACATCTATACAAGCTATGTCATGTACATGTAACTGGTGCTACATCTGATCAATATATCACACACACATATACACGATATATACCTGTGTGGACCTTCATTGAGCACCCTTTGAAGGTCCAGGATGCACACTGAAATATGGAACAACATAGCTACAAATATAGACTATACCATACCATACATCCATCTTCCAGGGCCCTGGAATAGGTGTGTTGGAGTGTTTTTTAATGTTTCCAAAAGGTTTTCTTTAGAGATCTTTAGAGGTAAAGTGGTGTCCAAGAGCCAGGTCCTGGTCATGGTTCATGGATTCTGCTGAGAGGTCAGACCTGGCCCAATTTGGTTGAGGTCAGAATGATCTGTGTATTTATCAATTCTGCGTGCGACCATGTGGAAGATAAACCATCATAAACCCTATCGAAAACTTATGTCTGTTGGAGGGATGATGGACTATAGTTACTGTGGGTACACTTGGTCCTCAGCATATTAGAAGGAACACGAACGAACATGGCAAATTCAATTGTCACGACTTGATGATGGGAGGGAAGCTTGTGTTGTTTCGTTATCGCAGCAGTAGCTCCCTTCGTAGAAGACAATCCAAAGATATCCAAAGAAACCGTTTGGACAAGCTCAAGTTGGTCTCCAGGTCTTGAAGGAGGCGGTAGCACAGGGAACGACCAAATCCAAATCTTGCAACACTCACCGCAGGCTCCTTTTTTCCTGCACGCGACAGGTAAGATGCAGGAGGAACAATTCCATGGAGATGAAAAAGAGCACAGAACGGTACCATTGAAACACCAGCGCATGCCCTGCCGGGCCCGCCAGGCCGACGACGATCCCCGGTGAAGGTCGGAGTGGAGTTGATCGCCGTGTCGGTTGGTCCTTGCGCGATCACGGACGGCCTGCAATGGCCGAATCATCATCTTGAAGATGTTGACATTGAGGTGGTATGTCATGAATCTGCCCATGAGCCAGTATTGAATTCTTTACAGTGTTGGCACTGATCGGGTTCTGTGTTGAAGTTGCTCACGGGGCTGCGAAGGAACGTCAAAGGCAACATGCAGGCCCTGCATAGCCGATGGTCCATGGGTCTTTGACGGCAGTGATTCATTGCATTGAAGCCAGCTCTAGTCCCTCACATCAACGAAGAGTCCAGTGACAGTGGCAACCCAAATCGTTGTTCCTTGCAAACCACTTATCACTTGCTCAAAGACTACTGACTACCGGAGTGCAGGAGGGAGCAGGCCTTGCTCGGGTCCTTCACAAAACTCTGGGATTTTGCGATCGGCTGCTCCATGATTCTCAGTTGGATCGCAGGGATGGCACATCCAAAGGTTTAAAACGTACCTTGCTTCTTGACCATTGTGAGTGACACTGTGGATGAAGGTGTCATCAAAAACGATCACCTCCCCTTCCACCCATCTGACTTGCTCGTTGCCGACGGACATGAAGAGTTCGCCCTGAGGCACCAGCAACGCCAAGTGAGCACTCAAACGCGGCGCGCCCCCGAAGTGTGGCTTCAGGCGACCCCCTGGGCGCATGCGCAGGAATCCTGAACCCGAGAGGGGCGAGAAACACTGCGCCACTTCGGGGCGGGATCGAAGCAAAGCACAGGTTCCAGGTGCCAAAGAGCAGACCTGCAACTGACCGGCAATGATGCAACTAGCAGTGATGCCGACAGAAAAGACCTACACTGGAAAAAAACACACATGCTTGTGTTGGGGGGCTGCTGCAGCTACTGTTCCATAAAAGGCCTTGCAGCCAGCCAAATGATTTGGGTCGATGGCAGCGTCGATTTCACACCCCAGCCAAAACAGGTCCTGTAAAACTCCAAAATGAACAGGTCTAGCCTGCGAGCCTGTCTCTTGGGCTGAAGAAAGTGGTCCAAAGAACCCATCCAGAAACCCAAGTTGAGAGAGTGCTGATTCAAAGGTCAGGGACCATAGAAAAGGTTTCAGCAAAAATGACATGAAATGACATGAACACATCTAAGGTTTCTCACATGGCAATGCTTTGCTGGAGGCTAGAGCCAGAAACCTGTTACAAGGTCCCCATGGGTCCCCCCTCTCCGGGCTTTCCGATTTGCACCACCCCATCTATGGACCATGTGGTCTTCTATGCGAGATGTTGCGAGAATCCCATGTGGATTTTTCAAGAGATGGTATTGGCCCGGGACTCGGGACCACAAAAGAAACCGACCTCATGTGACCTCACGACCTCACAGACCTTCAATATGCTGCTCCTTCCATGCTGCATTGGGTGACCCGGGTGGCCTCTTCGTGGAACTGAGCCCCACGGACCAGGTAGGCAGTGAGCCAGTCATCGTCTCGCGGGCTAAACTGCGGCTCTGCGTTCCGGGTGAGTTGGTTCAGCTGATAGAAAAGCGACTCATCCTGCATTTGGGCTGCCCATGTATGAAGGAACAGCAGTTGGTCTGAGTTATATATCATCAACAAAGAAGAACCGCTACACACCCAAAGCAAACTCCCAAGCAAAAGTGAATTTACATGTTGAAGTGTATGTGGTTCATTGGTGGTGCCCCTTTTTGGGGGAAAACAAAAAGGCACCAGCAAAAGAGTGCTATCTTCTGGGATCTAGCTGGGTCTCCCCAAGCAACTGTAAAGAAAACACATAGCAAAGGATCATGAACATGCCACACAACAAGGGAAAGGTACATGTTTTTTTTTCACATTGTTGCCTTTTCCTTTTACCAGTAAATGGGATCAAGGATGCTCACCGCTTGTTGTTGCCTTGGCTGCTTGTCCCCTGCTTGCGCTCCGCGGAGTTACCTGCGTGTGATTTGGAATGTGCCAGAATGTTTATAATTCAGGGGGACATCCCAGTTCGTTGTAAATTCTGAGGGTTACCATTTGTGGGGTGAACATTTCTCATAACCCACGTTTTCCTGGAAATCTCTGAGGGTTTGGGTGCGTGGCCCCGTTGTAAGTTAAGTTCTTGAGGTCATTATTTTGTGTGTTTAGTCAGGGTTTTCACCTAGCTTCATTGGTTGCGTCTGGAACATTTCAAGCGAACGCTCTAGGTAGCTGTTGCGGGATGTGGGGGGTTTAAACATGTAAGTTCAGGCCTGTAGTTGCAGCAGCAGCAGGAGGAGGAGTAGTAGTTGTTGTTGTCGTCGTCGTACTAGTAGTAGTAATAGTAGTAGTAGTAGTAGTAGTTGTTGTAGTAGTAGTAGTAGTTGTTGTTGTTGTTGTTGTGTGGTGATAGTAGTCGTAGCAATGGCACTCACACAACGATATCAAACATGAGCAAAACAAACTACACAGGCCTTATCCTCTATCGCCACTGCTAACTCCTAATTCCGATTTCCATTCCGTTGATCACCGTCTATATTTCCACATATACTTAATATATATATATATGATGATGTTCCCTATCAACTTGTAGGCTTTCTGCATTAACACCACTTCAGGTTGAGCATCTGCCACCCTGCCTCTGTCTTCCAACATGCCAGCAACAAACACAGTCTACTCAAATGCCCCGCTTGCTTGCAGTCAACCGTTGCCCCTGTGTCTGAAAAATGACGCAGCAACTGAATACAAGCTGCTTGCTGTGTCACATCCGATCTGCACGAAAGCTGCAACTTTGTTGTGCTACACTGAATAGTTCGTCGTGTGTACACGTGCGTCCAACATGTGTAGTAGCTACCTGGTATGTAAGCCTGGCAAGGTTGCTGAGAGCCATCAAACACACCTTTTCTTGGGACACATGCCACCACCTGACAAAGTGTCACACCCCTGAGCAAGCCTCTATAAACAAAATAGGGTCTCAGCAGGCATTGTGGTTTGTGTTTGTGTTTGTGATTGTGGTTAGGATTGAGGTCCGACCCTGCTCACTGCGATCTGGCACTTGCTGTTGAGGTCCGGGGCGGAGGAGAAGAAGGAGGAGGAGAAGGCTATCTGTAAAAATCTAACAACCCTCACCTGACAGGTGGGGAAAAAAATCAGGAACTGCAGTTTGAACAAACATGGACAAACCTACACTTGTCTGTACAGCTCCACCTGGATTGTCAACTTCTCACACTATCGCATGCCTGAGGTGAAAGTCTGAAACGACAGATTGGACGATGCAATTTAAATGTTCCGGAGTCGAAAGAGCCCTGCGTTTATGTGCAGGGCCCATGGGCAGCTAAATTATTCAGGCAAACAAAACACATTAAGTTTAGCAAAATAGTAAAATCAGGGCAAATTGAAAACAAACACAGAAAATCAGGTGCGGTCATAATCTGAAGGGACGTTCCAAAATAATGTATTTTTGACAACAGTCATCTTCCGAAACCACATAGTTCAATGAATGGCTCATGCACCGGGAGCAACAAATGCCAAGAAATACGTCCTTACCCGCCTTACCCTTACCTTAATTGGAGCCTCAATTGATCTGATGTAAGAACTGTATTCTGGCCAGGTCAAAGCCAAAAGAATGCAGAGCGTCGCCACATGTTGCCACTTCGACCACTCAACTTTTTGAACAACCCGAACAAAAGACCAAGTTAGCCAAACACATGAGCAAGTTTAGCTTGTCATAGCCAGCTTCATCCAAAGTGCACCTGGACCAACTATCATACATGCTGATCACATTAAACATGTAATCGGAGAAGGACAAACGACATCCATATTTCGATTTTGGATTTTGATTCTTGGACTCCCTGAACGCCTCTAGAATTCGCAGCAACTCTTCCTGGATCACCTTGAAGTGTTCCTCCAAAAAGCTCACAATGCCCAGCTCCTGCCGAGCACTTCTCCAAACCGGGCCTTGTCGCAGCACAGCGGCGGGAAAGAAGTCGGCGTTCAAACCTGACGGGTGAAGTGTGTTCAAAACCGATTCCCTAGGGCTCTCAAAAAAGGTCAACACCAGGATTTTTGAGTTCATTGATGTTTAACATAGTATTTCCCCCCGATCATCAAAGAGACACAAAAATATATATGCAAAAGCTTCCTGACCCAAACCATCCATGTATGGAATATTTACTTACCTACATTGACCCTTGAAACATCTCAGAATCACACCAATGCAAGCAAAGATTCCATACATGGATTGTTAGGGTGAGATCCAAACTCGGGCCGCTAATATGGTGCGGAGACCTTGGATTTCATCGAGGGTTCAGAGAAACACAAAAACATGTGTAGAGGTTTGTTTTACTGCTAGTTTAAAAAACACCAGCAACAAGTTGAAGACTGTTTCTGGTGTCTCTACATGAGATACTTAAAGAAATCCATAATCCAAAAGTATCCAAAGCCTACCCATTAGTCCGTACCCATAATGACCCTGTACCCATAGTAATCAACCCTAGTCACTAGTCCGATTGTGCAATCATCCCATCGAACTTCCAAGCCCTCTCCACCTGTAGAGAGGAATGTTCTAGCTTCCCAATCATTTCTCCTGTGGTGACAGCGCTGACAATAATAAGAAAACACAGAATTCAGCATTTGGTGTTTGCCGTAGACTGTATATATATGACATATATGTACACACAAATATATCTCAGGTGCTGCACAAAATCACCTCCACCAACAGTAAACGCACAGTATGATTTGTCATGGCTTCGAACAATACACACCCTCCCGAAAGTACGGCTCCGAGTTGTACTAGCAGCAGCACAGCTCTCAACAAATTCTTGTGGCTGGTTGGTAGGCGGACCCGTTGTTCCTCTTTTGGTGATGCTCTTCAATAAGTTTGTGCTACCTGTTGTGCTCATCTCATCAACAACCCTCGACCGGACCAGGATACCTGGACCAGTCCGAAGGATAACCGCTCTTCCGCATCAAAACTCTACTGCCTGGTGACGAGACCTCGCCGATGAAACTGAAGTGTGGCAGCTGCTTCATTGCGCGCCAGTAGCTGGTGGCGACCCGGAAGGCTTCAGTAGCACCACGCAGCTGCCGTGTTGAGGCCAAGTGCCGTGCTAACTCGAAGGAGATCATTAACAAGTAGCGCCACCTGAGAACAATGGTATTCTTTGGGCATGTGTTTGATTGTTTTTGTCGATTCTCTTGATTTGTCTTGACGGGGATAGCGGCAGGTTGCTTGATTCTCAATTGAAAGGGGAGGAATCTGCTGATCCTCCACCCAACCTAAAGGGTCTCAGAAGGAGTGACCCGATCATGTGATGTCTAAGCAAAGGACACGCCAAGTGCCAAGTATGCAAAAAATGGCAGAGGAACTACATAGATGGGAGATGATGATGGGATACATTTTAGTCTATGGTTCAGATATGCTCAGATATTGCTGAGATACGGAGCGGACATGGTCTTGTCATTCAACCATCGTTTCATACCTCTCACAATCTTCACAGTGGAGTCACCTCATATGGCAGTTCCGCTGAAAGAAACTCTGCAAGGGCAAAGCTGGATTGCCGCAGTCGTTGAAGCTCAAAGACATGGCGAAGAAGTCGCAGGCCAAACGCCCAGCGACCAAGTTCACCTGGTCGTTGTTGGGCCCTTCCCACCACATCCAGGAGTATAAGGACATGGCCACGGCATGCGCCAGTGCTGGAAACTCTTCAGCATACCCAATGAATCTCCACATTTGACTGATCAACTTCTGCCAACGTTCCTGGCCAAAGAGTCGCACTGAAAGAATCTGGACCCTGTGCCGAGCGTATGGATCATATAAGGAAGACACTTAATTAACAACCCCCCTATATATTTGGATTGTAAAACCTCTTCCTATGGGGTGGGTTAAGTTATTACTATGTTATAAATCAAGATTCTACATTGTGGTCCACTACTACTACTGCTACTGCACTTACTACGACTGCGCCTACTACTGCTACTGCTACTCCTCCTCCTCTTGCTGCTGCTGCTGCTTGGGTGGGTCACAGTCAAACTGCACCTCCTTGGGGTCCAACAGCTTAGTCGTCTTCCAGGCTCTACGGACCACGAAAGAACAAACGAGGAAACGCAGCCGGGTTTCGTCTTCATTCGTAGCAAAAGCACCAAGCTGAAGGAACATGGACGAACGGTTCAAATAGCAAAAGCACCAAGCAAAACAATCACTTCTCAGACTTCTCAAGCCGTCAGGAACAACACACAAGCAATAGTCCGTGCACTGTGCAGAGCAAAACAGGGGCACTATCATTCAGGGAGACGGAAAACCACTGGTCCTTCATTTGTTAATCTTCTGCAAGAAAAATCTTTGAGATGCAAACAAAACACAAACAAACATGCAACTCATAAACACCGATTTCCGCACCTCATCAAAGCCTCCTTGAATGTTACGACACTCCAACGCTCCATTCTCATGGTGGCAATCAGCGGACTGCACTGCCGAGAAAAAGCCACGCTCGAAGCACTGGTAGATCGTCTGATCATTCCTTGTGCCAAAAACCAATGAGACGCCCAGTGACAGAAGAACAGGTCAACAAAATCGCCAAGGCTGATACACAGAAAGGCCGTAATATATACACATAGAGAGAGAGAGAGAGTTGTGTAATATGTAACGATCTGTAAATAGTACTGAAAATAGTGCAAGTTTCAATTAGCCCCCGACGTCTTTCCGTCTCTTATAATTGCCGACCGCGTTTCGACCATTCTCAAAACCTGGGATCGAGGTTCCGGCAAACCCAACGGAAACTACGTCAACAGGCAAAGGCTAGTTTCTTCTGATCATCCACTTTCGATAGCTTTAAGCCTTCCAAGACGATGGAGTCCGACTCGGAGTCGGCCAAGCCCACCCCCATGAGGAAGAGCACGCCATGGCACATGGCGAACATGGACCCGAAGTAAACTAACGCTTGCACGATACTACTCATATGGATCGTATGTCGTATGTGTGTAGCAAAAAGGGATACAAACTCACCAGCCAGTAAGGTCGTTCTTTCCTTTTTGTCCTGTCCAGCAGGTGAATGTTGCATTTTAAGATGTAAGACCCGGGGTTTTTGCAAAGGTTGTCGGGCATTTTCTGGAAAAATATCCATCCTTTCTGCGCGGCTACATTCTGTATATTGAACGACCAATCGCACGGAGCCCAAAGGCTACGTAGCTTTGACGGCTTCGGGGAAGGTCGGAGCTGCTCACGTCGGGAACCACTGAAGAAAGGCACCGCATCGTTGGTCTTCGCGGCTATGGGCCATGAGGGGCGGGGCGCTCTTCACTTAAAGGTGAGAGTAATACTTTGACTTGAGGGTTGATTAATGTCGAAGTAGGATTAATAACCCCCCCTTCAAGGTCAACAAGGTTTGAGATTGAAGGTGTTGGAGGCCACATCCCCCTAATAAAAATGATGACCTGATAATGGTTGATGGGATTCAGTGGGAATCATGAGAGTCTGAACCATGAGAACCATGAGAGCTCTGATGATTTTGGCACAAGCGTGATAAGAGATCTGACATGGCTTGATCAATAGGGGGAGGTTTCTGGTCAGGAAAAATATTGGGCGGATGTCAAGGTGGAAATTCCGGGAAATTCAGGTTTTAAATTAGTGTAGTATTGGGGGCTCGAGCTGGGCTTGCTTAATAGGGGGAGATTACTTAATCCTAGGTGCACATTACATGGCATGGAAGTTTGCCCACCCATCTTCGTTGCCTTCAACTTGAAGGCCAGGCAAAACATCTATGCGGCTTGTGTGGGATGTTCTACAGGGTCTTCCTTGCTGAGTCCTGCTAACCCCGCGTGCAAACCTGCGTGTTGGTCGAATGTTTAATGGTGCACAGCGGCGGAAACTGCAAAAGACTCAATGTTCTAGCACAGTAATATAAATGAACTTATGCTCTGCTGTACCATCTGCAACATGCTTATATTAACAAGATGAATCCTTCATCACTCCCTTCTGAAAAAGGTTCAACTAGTTTTAGGAACTCTGCACCCGAAACAGCAACAAAAAACACGCCTTGGAGAGGCCTGTGGAACGCGCACGCAATAGGACGGCCATGGCGTCAGTGTCTAGGTGCGCGAGACAAGTCGCGGCTCGTTGGGGGCCACGGCTGCGGGACAATCGCGGCGTTCGTCCGAAGTCCGGTAGTGAGTTGGGCGATGTTTGGGAGAGGGTCCACTATGGCGGTTGATGCCACAAGTCAAAAATGGGAGGACTCGAACTTGTCCACCAGACTTCCAAGATTGGATCCAAAGACTCACATATGAAGACAAACCATGGCAGGTTGGAAAACAACGATAAACACCCGCTTAATCTATCCTACTTACTAAATTAGGTGAAGAAACAAATACTATTTCTGGGAGGGAGAGGGAAAAAGAAGAAGGATAGAGAGAGAGAGATAAAAACAAAAAAACAATGACATGTATATATATATACACGCATGCTCACACCTGCTCAGCCCGGAAAATCAGTGCCAGGGTCACCAATAACAATGCCTGCTAAAAACCAGCCTGTCAAGAGACACCCAAACATGTTGCGGATTTCAAGCACGGCTGGCAATTAGACGTTATATACAAGAAATTACACTCTACGCTCGGGGGTCCCGAAAAAAACATGCCATTAGGCTATCTGTGTGAGTGATATACCGATTTTTATACCCTAATCCTATAAGACCCCAGCCAGCACATGCGCTCCGATGGATGTGGCTGCTTTACAAGGTCCAAATTTTGAGCTACGCGGGCGCACAAAATCCTGAAACCATTAACAACTGCAATTGCAGCCATGCAGACAAAACAAACACGTAATTGGCCTGTCTGGCTTGCCACCTGCCTTAAGACACTATATAATTACAAGAAATTGAGGAACCTATATATTCTACAGAAGCCCGTTTGTTGTTTCATTTTTTCATTGCCTCAAGTCGCCCTCTGATTATACAGCAAGAGCCACATCCCATGGCACAAGTTTAGGTGTTGATGTCTTTTTTGTTATTTGTTCTGCCAGGACCCTGCAATCTAGCTTCCCGACTTGTGTTTCACATGCTGGCCAACACCTGGCCACCGAAGGATGCCCTACCGCCCCCGATGGCCCCCGTATGTGTTGATGGTTCTGCGTTTGTATGTGTGGGTCTGGCAGAACCCCAGCTCGGCCATCAAGAGCTTCCAAGTGAAAGCTCACACCTCATCCTGCCACATCTCCGTCTCTATGTGGGCGGCCTTTTCCTCACGGCAGGCAGCATTTCTAGCTAGGTATTTGCCACATAAAAACCAATGAGATCCTCACGGACCATCGAATGCCAGCTCTGCAAAGAAAAATATCTTGGGGCTTAACCACTTAACATCTTGTATCATCTTGTGAATGAGGTGTGCTCTAAAAATACATCAATCACCTGAGAAGATCTGAGAAGTTGCCGTGGGCTAAGCAAATCCCAGATCCATTTCTATCTGAACCTGGGCACGGTTGCTTACCATCAATTCCACCAAGAAGCATCAACATACAAACTGCATGGTATATAACTGGTATTGGTACCATGGCGCAACCGTGAGTCATCCTTCAACCACTCCGTGTCCTTCACTCTGCAATGTATACCCATTTGGTATATGTATATGTATATATTATGTTAGTATACTTAAAACTATATATCAGCTTATCAACCGTCTGGAAGAGGTGTATGAAGGGATATGAAAGGCCAATGACCCCACACGACACCAAAAAACATGCGGCGCTGTCAGTTCCCTATTTTCTGGTCGTCACTAGGGGCAGGGCGAAACATGCGAAACAACAAGCACTTGAGACATGGCCGATCCTACGTAAGATTCTGCAGGTTAACAAGCAACTCCTGTTAAAAGCCACTGCAACAAACAGTGATTTGTTACAAAAGAGCAAGATCTATATGACCCACGAGGCTTTCATCTACTTGTTTCGCTCAGTTGCACAATGGAAGACGGATGTGCCAAACTGATGCGTTGCGACTGCAAGTGTCGTAGTTCCACCCACTGGTGAATTAAAAAACATCAGAAGAGGCCAAGCGCGATTAACCATGCAAGCAGGGATAACAAACCGAGGGAATCGATGCATTGTCCTCCAAATGCTTCCAGGCGGTGGTTCCTTCAATCCCCTTGAACGAGTCATACTAGTCACTTCGACACAAACATGGCACCACTGATCGGAACCCATTTTGTCCCAAAATGCGATACACTAAACGGATCTTATTTGAGCGGGACACTGATATGAGACCGCTAGCTCCTGAAAAGTCCTTGAGCAGTCAGTGTGGAACAAGTGTTGCGTCGTTGGGGCCGAGTATGTTGAATATATCGTGTAGGTAGCTTGTGCCGCACATTGAGTGAACGAGGTCTTGAATGAAAAGGCTCAGCATGGCACCAAGCTCCTGCATTGAAGGCTAAACATGGTGCCAAGGGATACATACGAGCTCCCTGACCCCCCTCAGATCGGAACGGCGACATGAGGTAACATGCTGATCGACAGAAAGAACCTAACACTGGGCCACTCAGGACTTGGGAAAGTCTTGTGAGGATGCTGAAATTTGGCCTTACATAGACCGCCAAGGCCTAGGGCAGCATGTATCTGTGTAATTAATGGTGAATGTCCAATTTCAAGACGAGGTAACTCAAGGCCTCAAGGTGCAATTCAGAATGCATTTCGGCAAGTCATTGAATTGGCGCCTTGGACATCGCAGGACTGAGGAACCACCACAAAAACTTACTTACGCATGATCTTACATGCCGTTGATCCATGTTGTCTACTCGCTGGAAACCAGAAGGCCGACAATTTGTAGATCCTTATCATCCCCAAAAACGCCTCCATAATAGATAGTACAATAGTTTAATGGATTAATGATTACTGTATGTATGTATCATATATCTGTATTTATTGCTGCATTCTGCATTCAAGTATAGAAAGGGATATGGCCAGGGGATTGCATATACATTCTACTATGTATGTGCACCGTATATATGCAGGATCATTCAGGTGTATGTTGTAGCACCGGGACACTTATCAAATGCAAGATGTCCACAGATGGCGATCCTTTCCAAGAATGTCAGTTGCCAATCCATTAATAGTTAATAGTTGCCAATCCATTAATAGTTAATAGTTGAGCTTAGATGAATAGTTGAGGTGTCACTAGTCTTGGGAAGCTGGGAGTTTCTGGAGTTCCTCAGGTGTCCAGGCGGAGGATGCAATATCTACAATATCTACAGCTGGTGCACTCCAAGCCAGGACGCATGGCATGCACCCCTCATGCCATCCCCCACCTCAGCATGACAGTCTTCCAATTCAAATGTGTTTCTTGTTTGAACTGGTGTGTTGCCAAAGCAACACATGCCCCTACCATGAGAAAAATGGTTGTGATTCATGCTCAGCCTGGAGCACACAGAACACCATCAAAAACAGGGATGAAGAGGGACCTGTCACATCCTGTGACGCTGGGTTGGTTAAAAGGAAGGCGACCAACTGGTGGAGCAAAAGGGGAACCAACTGGTGAAGCTGGCCGCAGCCAAGATTGGCCAGCTGAGGTGCTAAAATCTTGAAGCCTATCCAGCCTATCCACGCAAAATTGATGTAAACAAAAACATCATGTGAGAGTCCCGAAGCCCAGGATGTGAGGATTTCATTGATTTTCCGTGTGTTTCATTGTTTTTCAGCAGCTATGCGGCAATGGACGGGAGGTGCTGCTGGTCCTGGCCCTATTCTTGGACTAAACAAATTCTTCAAAGGAAAATGAACCAAGCAACGCAGGTTCCGCTGAAGTTGCAGGTCTGAAGTATCTCCGAGCCACATGAGTCAGCAACAAAAATGCTGGCAATTGGATCAATGGGTTGGAAAGGGCCAACTGACTAAAGGCGAACGCGTCAGACCTACCGCGCCCTGCTTGCT